TCCCGTCTTCCATACGGTTCCCTGAACACTGCCGGGGTTATTCCTGAGTGCAGAGCTGGTGTAAGCCCTGAGTATTGCTGGGTGTGACCCCCAAATAAGCATGAACAAAAGAAAAAAATTTTAAGGCCTCAAGACAAATATTAATGTAAAAGGATTGTTTTTATGTTGCCAATAACCTGATCATCCACTCAGATCCAATGGAGGAGTTCACCCATCTACATTGCTCCTTGCTTAGTTAGCTTTGTTTAGAATACAGCTAAGGTTTAAAATTGAGCTAAAGTAAAACAAATTCAATTATATTCTCACAGGCTCATTTCTTTTGGACTAAACATTTTCTTGGCCCAGAGGCTCTGGAAGAAAGCAATGACTTTATCTGCTGCCACTCACCATGACTACAGTGACTGTGAGTTGACAAGGATATAGAGAATAAAGGAATGAATAAGCAATTAGAGAGTTTATGACAGAACAAAGTTGATGCTTTTGACTTATGATTTTAAGAAAAATGTTGGCAGGCAATTAAAAATATGCCAGGCATGAGAGATGGCAATCCAAAACTGGGTGTATGTGAGGTTGCTACAGCATTGTCATTGTAGAGATGTTTTTATGACACAATTTTTCTAGTCTCTTCAGGTTCCGAAGACATAACACATGCTTTGTCTATAGTTCCTTCCACCTACCATTTCCAGTTTGTTTTCTTGAAGGTGCCCATTAATCCTTGGAAGATTTCTGCTCTTCAGTTGTTTATCCACTACCTCCTAAAACCATTCACCTGTCTTCACCTTCATCAGTCCTTTGTGTGTGAACATAGTTATAAATTCCCTTCTACATTTATAAATTCCCTTCTACATTTGTGCACGTCTACCCTTATGTGACAAATGTTACAGATTAAATGATTCTTGAGGAACACAAGCAGGAAGAAAGACCCCCGTGGGATTGCACAGACAGACTAGTAAATCCATCCTCAGTGGGAAAAGGAATAAATTCAGGCAAAAGTACATGCAATATAATATTTCCTTTCTCTTTCTTCTCCTGCTTCTCCTATCACTATTCTTTTATTTTTGATTTGTTTGTTTATATGTGTGTGTGTATGTGTGTGTGTGTGTACACATGTATGCCTGTGTGTGTTTTGTCAGGGATTAAACCCAGGGCCTCACATAGGCAAGGCAAGTTTTCACCACTGAGTTCCATCCCTGACCCTTTTATGGAGGAGAGAAACATAATTGTTAGATTCAAGTCCCTGTACCCCCACTCCACCCCAAATAACCTGAAATAAAGAGTACAGTGCAAGTAGCTCACCTGGCAGATAATTCTAGAAATATGGGGAGGTCATTGGAGATGTGTACAGAGAAGGGAAGAAATTCAAAGCAATGTATATAAATTGCTTAGAAGAAGGAACAACAAAAGCTTAATTTTCAGAGCACACTCTTAATAAATGGTGTAAACAATATGTATGGAATTACACTATCTGAGAAGAACAGAGTTAGTGTATTTCTACACTGACTTTGTCCATTACTTCTTGAAACCTGCTAATTGCTGGTTCCTGTGCACATCTTCCCCACTGTGTGCAAAAACAGAGCAGCTTTTCATACTTTTTGAACAAGTTCTCATGCATAGAGGCAGACATCTTCTCCATGGGCAAAGACAGTGCCTGCTCTGTCTAGTGAGCTATTTTTCATTAGCTAAGACCTTACCACAGTGTTTACTGAATAAGATTCCTGATCTCAAGAAAATGGATGCTAGCTATATGGCACTGAAAGGGATTTCTAAAGGAGTTTTAGTATAATCAATAAATTTTGGGAGGGGGGGACTGACCACACTCAGCTGTGTTCAGGGCTTACTTCTGGCTCTGTTCTCAGGGATCACTCCTGGAGAGGTTTAAGGGACCACTCTGGTGGTTGGGATTGAACTTGGGACGGCCACATGCAAAGCAAGTGCCTTACCCACTAGATAACAAATACATTGTAAATAGGACACCTGAATTAGCATTATATGGAAGAATCAACAAATGAGGTAATGTAAAACTCTATGGGTCTTTCTCTCTCTCCATAATATAATTAAGGGAAAAGTTCAGATTGTATAACCTTATTTTGAGACTCAATATAAGTCCATTTTCTTTACAACACAGAACATGAAAGCATAAAGTTAATTTATAGGGATAGTAATATAGCTTAATAGATTCAGTACATGCTTTGCATCTAGGAGGTCTGGGTTCAATACCCATCACTGTATGTTTCCCTGACCAATTCCCAAAGTAATTGGCTGGGAGTAGCTCAAAGCAGTGTCTGGTATGCACCGCCCCCGAAAAAAAAAGTACTAGACTATGAACACAAGCTAAAATGTTGCTTGTTACACAAGCTAATTATTTTATCTTGGAAACTGGGACTTGAAGTTCACTTTTCCTTATCTATTTATTAACTTTTTGCAGTAAGTATGGATTGCACTTATAATAACAAGTAAATTTCTTAACGATTCCACAATAATCAAAAGCAATCTCAAGATTAAGAATAATTTCAGAACTTTGGGGCTGGAGTGATAGTACAGCAGGTAGGGCATTTGCCTTGCATGCGGCCAACCCAGGTTTGACGCCCAGCACTCCATATGGTCCCCTGAGTGCAGAGCCAGGAGTAATCCCTGAGTATCGCCAGGTGTGACCCAAAAAGCCAAAAAAAAAAAAAAAAGAATAATTTCAGAACTTCCTCCTCCTCCACTGAGTTCTTCCAAAGAGATTAAGCTTTGCTCATTCTGCAGGTAACAGACTGCAGTATCCCCACTCTTAACCTTAGGAGAATCAAGGAATTAGGGGATGGGGGAGGCACTTTAGTAGTCAAAAGAGAGTGCTCCCTTCATCTCCATAAGTTAAACCTCATCCACTGTGCTCACAGACAGGCATATCATCCCAATACTTAGAGGGCTCATTAGATACTTTCCTCATTGTTCTAACAGACATGGGTATCCGAGTTCAGGTTCACATTTCAGAGGGCAGTTGGAAGATGAGAAAAGGCACACAAAAGGCAGATCCACAGTTGGCAAGGGAAGAGGATAAAGTCTTGACAAGTCTGCACGAGTCAGTACACCCAGGCACTCCAGGCTCTTTAAGGCAGAGAACATGCCCACAACTGCCTGACCGGCGGCTGTCTGGGTAATACCCCTGTTTCCAAACTCCGAGGTATAGTTCAGTTTCAGTTCTGAGGTATTCAGACAAGATTCAACTATACTCAAGAGAAAAAAAATCCATCTTGAATCTTAAGAAAGAACACAGATAGGTACATAGTTCAGACCATCTATGTTAAAACTGAATTATCCACCTTTAAATTCAGCATCAGAATGTCAGTTATATAAGCCACATGAGTATGGAAGTAGCTCAAAGCAGTGCCTGGTATGCACCGCCCCCGAAAAAAAAAAAGTACTAGATTATGAACACAAGCTAAAATGTTGTGTGTTACACAAGCTATCTATTTCTACCTTTCAGGATTTTGTGTAATGGTTGATTTTTTTAATCTGTCAACATCTTTTGGACCAGTTCCTCTTTTTTTAACATTCAATAATTTTAATTCTAATTTGTTTTTGGTTTGGGGGCCAGGGCTTATTCCCAACTCTATATTCAGGGACCACTCCTGGTGGTGCTTGGGGGACTATATAGGGTCCCAAGGATTAAACTCAGGTTGGCCAAGTAACAAGGCAAGTATTGTGCTGCACCGTCTCTTTGGCCCCTAACATCTGAAATTTTAATTGAAAAACTTAGACTACACTTTACATCATTTCTGTTTGCATAATTATAAGAGTCATTTTTATTTTTTTCCTTCTGGTTTCACAGAATTTCTTTTTTTTTTTTTCATTAGTGAGACACCATGAGGTACAGTTGTAGACTTACAAATTTTTGTGCTTGAGTTTCAATTATACAATGATCTATAGTATGTCACGGAATCTCTTAAATTAAAAAAGTAAGTTATAGAGATCGGAGACAAAGTTCTTAAACTGATCTGAAGAAGGGGTAAGCTTTGCATTTTTATACTGAGCAATTTTAAGTTCTTCATAAAAGAGTCTTTAACAAGTTCAAATGTAAATATGAATGAATACATTTCTTTAAAAAGAGATGAAAGAAATGGCATTTATAGTGAAATAGGTTAGATGATTTTCAGACTCTAAAATGTTCTGTTAGTTTTATGTGATTCAGTCCAATTCCTTAAAAAATCCTGCCAACAGGTAACACGTCTCTGAAAGCTTTTGAAGCCAAACACTCCCCACTAGCTTGTCCATCTTTTGCTAAATTCTCAGGCTCATTAAGAATGAGAAACAGATACCACGGCACCAACCTGTCTATGAGAACACAGCGAGACAAATGTAATTGCCTGTAAGACAAATATAAATCAGTAACTCCCAAATCATTCATATTTATACCCACTCCATTTTGGTTGTCTTTCCTTTATAATTTGGCTATATATCAATGTCGAGTGTATAATTTCATTTGGGGCTTTATCAGTTACGGTCCTGAGCCCTGAGCCTTGATTATATGGTACAGGGAACTTCCTCGCCACCCCTCCACCCCCCCACTCCCACCAGCTAGTCTATCTTTAGTATCTATTTGATACTCACTTTTTACATACAAAATCCAAAGGAAAGTTCTTATTTTCTTATTTGACTCCAGAATCACTAAATATAACATTTAGAAGCATTTTATTAATGAGAGCCAATGGCTTTTCAGTTGTGACTGTGATTTTTCAAATTTTTCATATTCCTCGGCTTTGTTATTTTTTATCAAGTTGCAATTGGAAACTTTAGGGATTTTGATATTTACTATTCAATCTAGCATAAATGTAGCTTTCATTTTGCTAATCCACCCTAACCATACCTAGTTAATACTAAAATTTGAACAATCGGAACGATGAGAACAGAGATGATTTTTAAAAGAAGTAACAGTACACAAACAAAACATTAAAAATCTCTTCAATCGTAGATTCAAAAGATAGTTTCAAGAAGAGGAGTCACACATAATTCCCAGTAATATGTTTCTTTTATTTTTGTGCCTTTATCTTAAAAATATATTTAAACAAGAAACAAAGATAATATTGAATTTTCCCATAAATTTTGCTTTCTTATGTACAGTGTTACATTGTAAATAACATTCCATTATACACAAATTAAGAAGTTTGCACCACTGTATGTTTTCTTTACATATTCTTTCATAATATAGTTACATACAGCTCGAAGCTATGCAGTATTTAAGCTTTGAAAAGCTTGAAGAAAGTACAAACTTTATCAATAAGACTATTTTTAAAAAGGTTCTGACCTTAATTCTCTGCTAGATTGTTTCACTGAAACCATTCTTTGTTAAAGAAAAAATGCCCCATATGAGGGTTGAGAACTACAGTTTAAGTTGCCACAGGATCCACTTAAACTGGTTAACAAATAAAAACAATTCTTATTACTTATTATTGTTATTAAACAGAGCACTACCACTGTCAATCATGAAACAAGCCTTCAGTTCAAACACATTACATCAACGACAGTTGGTAACTCTTAAAGAAATTAAAATAAATGTTTCCGGCAACTTTTCAGGTTTTCCTTGTAAACAGTTAAAGCACACATTTTGTAAAGATGATTTAATCATTCTAGATCTCGGGTTATATAATAAGGAGGGTTTCTATTTCATCAAGGGAGAAGCAAGCACACACTCTGACTCTGAAACCACACACACCCACACATACTCCATCCCGCTCAGTCACAGAAAGGCCCGTGTGCCACCAAGCACCAGCTACAGCAGCACCAGTGTTGCAAGTAGTGAGCGAGGCTACAATTGTATTTATAAAATGAGGAAGATAAAATACCCAACTTCGGTTAAAACCCTGAAAGACTGCTTCTGAAACGCCTCTCAGATGCTTCGGGCTGAGCCTGGAGGGTCAATTCCCCGGGCTCTCCAGGCGGCAAACCCCACCTTCAATTGCCACGGACTGTCCAGCCACTGCACCAGGAGGGAGTCTTGAAATGTGAGTCTGCAGAGAAGGAAACAGCAAAATGTTAACAGTGCCAGTTAAATCTCCCAACTTGTGACGAAGACGAAGGAAATACCAGAAGGTCATACTTTTGAGCATGGACTGTGAAAACAGGAGGTTTTTAGGTGCAGAGATCTGGTCATATTTGTTAAATCTCTTCTATAGGTCAAGCATAGCACTAGTTAGTGGAGAGTTAGAAGTTACCAGATAGCCAAGGCCCTGAAGAGCACAAAACTGGAAATTTAATTATATTCAGAACAGCAATGAATTTTTAAACTTTTTTAATTGAATCACTGTGAGATATGACAAAGCTTTCATGTTTGAGTTTCAATCATACAATGATCAAATACTCTCCACCACTGCACATTTTCCACCACCAATGTCCCCAGTATCCCTCCCATCACAACCCTCCCCCTGCCTCTATGGTGGACAAGTTCCCCCATACTGTCTCTCTACTTTTAGGAATTATGGTTTGCAATACAGATGCTGAGAGGTTATCACATTTGGTCCTTTATCTACTTTCAGCACATATCCCTCATCCTTAACGATTCCTCCAACCATCAATGACTTAGTGATCCCTTCTTTATTCCAGCTGCCTTCTTCCCCAGCTCATGAGGAAGGCTACTTCCTGGACCTTGCGTCTACTGTCCTTGGGTGTCTGTCTCATATTTTGTTATTTTATATTCCACAAATGAGTGTAGTCCTTCTATGTTTGTCCCTTTCTGACTCATTTCACTTAGCATACTCTCCATGTCCATCCACTTATAAGCAAATTTCATGACTATATCTCTCCTAACAGCTGCGTAGTATTTCATTGTGTAGATGTACCAAAATTTCTTTAACTAGTTGTCTGTTTGGGTTCTTTCCAGATTGTGGCTATTGTGAACGGTGCTGCAATGAACATATAGGTGCAGATGTCATTTCTACTGTGCTTTTTTGTACCCTCGGGATATATTACCAGAAGTGCTATGGCAGGGTCATATGGAAGCTCAATTTCTAGTTTTTGAAGGAATGTCTATATTGTTTTCCAAAAACGGCTGGACCAGTCGGCATTCCCACCAACAGTCCCCTTTTCCCCACATCCATGCCAGCACCGGTTTTTTTTTTCTTTTGAATGTGTGTCAGTCTCTGTGTTGTGAGATGATAACTCATTGTTGTTTTGATTTTCATCTCCCTGATGATTAACAATGTGGAGCATTTTTTCATGTGCCTTTTGGCCATCTGTATTTCTTTTTGAGGAAGCTTCTGTTCATTTCTCTCCCCATGTTTTGATGGGGTTGGGGGTTTTTTCTTGAACAATTCTACTAGTGTCTTGTATATCCTGGATATTAATCCCTTATGAGATGGGTATTGGGTAAATATTCTTTCCCATTTTGTGGGCTCTCTCTGTATTTTGGTCAATGTTTCTTTTGAAGTGCAGAAGCTTCTTAGCTTGATGTAGTCCCATTTGTTTATGTTTGTTTCCACTTGCTTGGTAAGTGGTGTTTCATCCTTAAAGATGCTTTTGCCTATATTTTCTTCCAGGTACCTTATGGATTCAGGCCTTATACTGAGGTCTTTAATCCACTTTGATCTGACTTTTGTGCCTGGCATTAGACAGCGGTCAGAGTTCATTTTTTTTGCAGGCAGATATCCAGTTTTCCCAGCACCACTTGTTGAAGAGGCTTTCCTTGTTCCACTTCACATTTCTTACTCCTTTAGCAAAGATTAAGTGGTCATATATTTGAGAGTCTGTGAAAGAATATTCAATTCTGTTCCACTGGTCTGCAGGTCTCTTTCTAGTCCAATACCATGAACAGTAATGAATTTAATGCCTACTGCAGTGAGCATATTACAGTTCTCTGAAAACTAATGATTTTTATTTTTTATCCAATGAAGTTAGGGATTTGATTCATACACATGAATGAGAAAATGCCTAATTCATGTTATATCCCTAATTTATTCACCAAAGGATTTGAATGCTTATAAAGATTCAGGTAATTCAGCAACCTAAAGAGGGGCAATGAAAAATAACAACTTAAAAGATATGGGAAAAACAGGCATGAGGTAAACATAAAAAATCTAGTCTGAGTTTTGTACCGATGTTACAGGCAATTTGCTTTGTGTTTCCATTTCCCCTTGTGACCTAGTTTAAATACATAATTAATGTGGTATATAGGATTGTAACAAACCAGTTGCTCAGGAGAGAACTGTTCCTGCAATGACATCAAAAAGAGTCATTCATCCTCTCAGAATACACTATGTATGTTAAGTTAGTGAAGACATCAGTTATAGGACTGAGAGTATTACAACATACTTTTGAGATTGACCCTGGGTCGGAGAGAGCAAAAAATTTTCCAAACAAGATGAGGATATTGTCAGCCATGAATTCCATTATTTATTTGTCACAAGTTCTTAAAAACAGAGGGACTGCATACTCTTCAGATAATCCTCTCTAAGTCCGTTTCTTTAAACAAGCTTTTCCTAAAGACTGTAGTGAAGTGAGTTCAAGTCCCAGAGGAAGTTGTGAGATGCAAGTTGATTAGGCATCCAAGCCTACTGTAGATCTGATATCCTCTCATGCAAGTTTATGTTTGAAGCAGAATAACATGTAAGCTCCTTGGTTTATTTGAGAGTCGACACAATTCCTGAATCTAGCTGCACACCTCCTATTGGAATAGTTGACAAAAGTGAACAATTTGCAGTTAAGAAGAAAAAGGAAATGTTCTCTGGGTACTTATTCTGTATGAAAGGCAACAAGCATTTTTTTAGCTCAATTTTAATTTTATAAAGTTGTTCATGGTAATTCATTACATTTAATATTCAAACACCAGTCCCACCACCACTGCACTTTCCCACCACCACATTTCAAATATTTCCATCCCAAATCCCAAACCATGCCCCCAAAGCAGAACTGAAACAATTAAATTTGCACTGCTTGTTATGAATGATCTGCTAAAAATGGATAAAGTTTCCTTAGAGGAAAGTGTGTTAAGATTGTTGTATTTCATTCTGGAGCCATTAAGTCCTTGTATAAGAGATTACTTATTTGTTAAACCCAATCAAATGTTATGTGCTACTTATACATCAGTGGTGTAGAGTATAAGTAGTCCAGGAATTCTAAAATTTAGAATATGATCACTGTATCACTATATCACTGTCATCCTGTTGTTCCTTGATTTACTTGAGCGGGCGCCAGTAACATTTCTATTCCTCCCAGCCTAAGATTTTAGCAGCCTCTCCTTACTCGTCTTTCCCAATGATTGCACGCTCTTTCAGGGTCAGGGGAATGGGATCTGTTATCGTTACTGTTTTTGGCATATTGAATACGCCACAGAGAGCTAGCCAGACTCTGCCCGTGCAGGCGGGATATTCTTGGTAGCTTGCCAGGCTCTCCGAAAGGCATATATATATATATATATTTTTAAATATATATATTTCTCTCTATGGTTTTGTTGCCTACTGTGTGAACCCCATCAAATATGGTGTGGTAATTATGGAAAATGGGTAGGAAGTATCTTATGATGTGTCGTGTAGCCACAATAATAGAAACAGATTCACTCATGGGTGAGGCCTATGTTGCTCCCTTCTGAGAGCTTTATTTCTGAGTCTCTGGTTTATGGCCATTGATGAGATCATAAGGTGCCAGGGGCAGTTTGTGGGTGTGATTGCCAAGCTCTTGGTAAACTTCGGAGCTGTGGGGAGGAGGCCCATTCCCACTCTGAGTGAACTTGGAGATTTCAGTCACTGGTCCTGCAATCCTAGGTTTTTTAGCAGATTCACTCATGGGTAAGGCTCATCCAAGCCTGTGGAGAGCAGTCGTGGGCATGGTGATGGTTGGGTTCTGGAAGGTTTTGGCTGCCAGGGCTCTGTTGGTGTGGGGAGGGAAACAACCTGCCCCCTTTCTGAAGGCAGCAAGTATTCTATATAACCTTACATGGGTGAGGCTGTGAGGCTGAGAAAGAACTTTATATGACAGGCTGCACTTCAGCAAAACAAGGAGTAGACCTAAGTTTCTATTTCACCTCCAAAGAATTCTCTGAGCCTGTCCTTGGCTGAAACTGGAAATCCCCTAGACACCTCTAACCAGTCCTATGATAAGTAGGATATCTCTGGGCACAGCAGTTGGACATGACCAATTAGCTCACAGACTTGTGACTGCTTCATCACAATTCTTGGGAAAACTGCCAATGATGCTTATGTAATGATATACCATATAATGTTCCCTGGAACTTGGGTCAGCGTCTTTGTCAAGATTCCACTGCGCTGGATAAGGCTTGTACCCTAGTTTTAGCTAGCAATGAAGGTTCCTTTGCTTTTGCATTCTCACATGTGGAACTGGTCTTTCTGCAAATGGGAAACCCAGAATCTAGGTACAGCAAGGTCTACTGACAGAGCAGAGATGGGAGAGGTAGGCTTTAAGTGTTCTCCTGGTATTTGAGTATCACTCATTAGAGTCTTGCTCCCGGAAAAAATGTCCCAGAGTCAGGTCTAAAGACTGCATGTAAAGGCAACTTGGGTCTCCGAATACGAAAATATTACACCTGAGAACTCCATAATTAGGCTGATTTCTGGATGTCCCATTTCTTATTTGTCTCATCAACTTTGTGGGAGAGTCAGAAGAGAGCATATTGGTTCAGTTCTCTAATGGTCCTTATCGCATCAAGCACAAAAAGCTCAAATATCACACTTTTCTGAACTATGTTAATGAGACCATTTCAGTACTCTGTCAGGAATACATTAACATTAAACAAAACAGAGATTTTACTCAGGCATCACTACCTTTTAAAAAAAAAGTCAGTTATTTTAAGCAAACAAAAGATTTCAAAAAAACCCCAGAAACTCAGTCAATTCCATCCTTAACATTACACTCTTCAGTCATGAGCACAGTCCTAAAGCCAAGTCTAGGATCAAAGACAAACAGAAAGGCAATGGAAAATACTCTGCTAACTCCTCAAGAAATTAAACACAGAATCTGGGTCATAGTAATAGGACAGCCTGTACAGCACTTTCCTTGTAAG